ACGCCTGTCACCCAGAGGGGTAGGCAGAGATTATGGACTTCCATTTGGCACGATCCTGACACACCTCTCTCGCTTCCTCCACATCCATATACCTACGGATACACGCTCGTCGGTTAAAGGTACTCTTGATTTGGCCCATTTTTAATATATCGCCAAGTTGGTCGATAATTTAACTTTTTTATTTTAGGATAACCCCCTACCGTGATCATGGGTTGCTGTAAAGCACTCGAAACATCGGGAATTAAAATAAGTAAATTAAACGCGATAAAATCCATAAAAATAGTTTTATTCAATCAGTTATTTTATTAACTTTTCGGTTTTTGTTTTCAATGTTCAAGTTTTTCAGATAAAATATAGCCAAGATCACTCCTGGCTTTGCTTTCTATCTATTAAGTTAATTTATATTCTATTAAGTTTCATCACAATTGGTTGAGCCATTTCGAAGATTATCCTACACAGACAAATAGACAACAATTTTAAAAATGGTTATTGAAATCTTTATGGCATACAAATAACCTTCGCAGCTCAATATAAGGTAATTATTTCGATATTACAGACAGACACTTCAATTTTATTTATATATATGGATAAGAATTTATGCACTTCTTTAAAACCTCGAGGTTGCTGTTTCTAAAGGAACTGTACTCGTGATTGGTTGTTCCTGCTGGTGACAAGAATTTTGGTAATTTTTAAAAATAGGCTAAGTATATTAAGCTTTTGTGCAAGAATATAGAACGAGTGTTCAGTAGTTCGTGCTTGCGTGTATGTACGTGCGTGTATAAGTGGTATGCCATACGTTATTGTATAATTAACACCTAATTAAGGTTTCATTTGCTTAAATTCTATAGCATCTTAACACGTCCACTGTTCCGTGACCCCATATGGATCATTGCTATTGTCTTACTATTGTGTCTGGATACCGGACAGTGAAAGTGTTGAAAAAAAATCAAATATACTGGCGAGGGCAGACCGCAGCACACCCATACAAATTATTTGATATTTGCTTACTTACTTACTTATCTTCACGCACAATCCCTGACGGAGTAGCCAGAGAGAACAGATCGCCAAGTGTCACGATCCTTATATACCTCTTTCGCTTCTTTCACATTCATTATCTTCTTCATACATGCATGTCTAGGCATCCGAGTACTCTTAACCCTCCTCTCTTCGAGCAATTTGCTCACATGGTCTTCGAAAGTTAGTCTCGGTCTACCTCGACACCTTTTAATATTTACTTTCGCGCTATATATTTTCTTCACCATTCGGTCTTCACTCATTCGCTCAACGTGCCCAAACCATCGAAGCACGCCCTTATCAATTTTTGTGATAAGGTTATCTTTCAAACCTGCCATATTGCGAATCTCTTCGTTTCGCTTTCGGTCGGCCATGGTAACGCCGCACATTTTACGAAGAGATCGTGTAGGTTAAAATGGCGTAAGGCGTCGTAGGTTCAGTGAAGAAAACAGTTTATATTAACGTTCACAGTCTTTTAATAGTCCACGACACAAAGCACACTACAATAAAGAGTCAGAAGGGAAGCGAGCACAATCATAGTTACAAAGAATAGCACAAGCAAGAAAGTAAGAGATAGCATTAACAAATAAACTGTACGTGGTTAGCCGCGGGCGCAAAGGTGTTACAAGGGTCTAGTCGCAGAGGCGATCAGCAGGTAACTAACTTTATACAAGTACAACAGGATATGCGCGAGCGCCGCGATTCAATCCCCGGCCGCTCTGTCTAGAAAAAGGTCGATCCACAATGGTCCCAATGTGTTAAATGCTTGTTCTATAATGGTTACATAATATATAATTAATTACGTTTATTGTAGGTGTTGTATGTGTTTATGTGTAAGTGTTATTGTGTTTCTGTGTGTATATATGAGGTGTGTGTAATAATGTGGTGGAATCCCCACATCACTCCCCCCCAGAGGCCGTGCCTACGGTCGATAAAAATCAGGAAATCTGACATGCCTACCGGCCCTTGTAGTTTTCCGGTTTTCTAAACTGCCGTCCATGACTTTGGGGCTGCAATCAGGAGAGACGTCGTAAGGCGGATCGGTGTTCAGCATATAGGCCGGTTTCAGACGGTCTATAGAAACTGTTATCTGCTTACCTTTAACGATGATCTTAAATACTTTATCACCTCTTTCGGTCACTTCATGTGGACCGGAATATGCAGGATGGAAGGTGCTTTTCAGCCGGTCTTCCCTAAGGAATACGTGGCTGGAATTAGCGAGATCCTTATATATAAATATTTTATTTTTATTATGCCGTGATGCGGGATGAGGCTGCAGTTTCTCACAAACTGAACGAATTCGTGCAGTAATATCCGTAATGTCAGTTGTGGTGCTTACTGTGCTTTCGAAAAATTCGCCTGGGAGTCTTAAAGGCTCGCCGTAGACGAGTTCTGCTGAGGAATACTGCAGATCAGCTTTAAATGCGCTTCTGATGCCCAATAGTACTAGAGGTAAAGATTCCGTCCAGTTGCTATCAGCGTGACATGTAATAGCTGTCTTGAGCTGTCGGTGGAATCTTTCCACTAGGCCATTAGAAGCAGGATGGTAAGCTGTGGTTCTGCGGTGTTTGAATCCGATTATTTTCGATAGATAATTAAATAAATGGGATTCGAACTGCCGTCCACGGTCCGTCACTATGTCAGTTGGACAACCAAATCTGGCGATCCAACCTGATAGGAGTGCCTTCGCTACAGTTTCGGCTGTAATATCCGCTATGGGCATAACTTCTGCCCATCTCGTGAAACGGTCAACTGCTGTTAAGCAGTAGCGGAAATTATTCGAGTATGGGAGTGGACCAATAAGATCGATATGCACATAGGAAAACCTGGCTCGTGGTAAATCGTATGTGCCTAAGGGTGCTGACACATGGCGGTTTACCTTAGAGCGCTGGCAGGCTAAGCACGTACGAGACCATTCTCGGCAGTCTTTTCTGACTCCTGGCCAAACGAATCGCTGTGCTACCAGCTTAGCAGTAGCGTTTGCACCAGGGTGACTTAAAGAATGTAGACTGTCAAAAATAGCTTTTCGAAAACTTTTGGGAACGAAAGGTCTTGGTATGCCTAGACTTATGTCGCAAAAAATTTCGACTTTGCTGTCGGGCTCTTTAACTTTAATAATGCGAAGTGATGATTCATCGCCTAGAAGCTGTGATAGCTCAGAATCTGTGGACTGAGTTTTTGAGAGCTCTTTAAAATCCACCGGCTGCTGTATTTCATCCACGCGCGACAGAGTATCAGCAACGATATTATCCTTGCCGGATATGTGCTGAATGTCGCTTGTAAATTGAGACACAAAATCTAGATGTCTATACTGACGCGGCGAACAGTTATTTTCCTTACATGGAATGCATAACATAAAGGCCTATGGTCAGTATAGACTGTGAAGTGGCGTGCCTCGAGCATGTGGCGAAAATACTTAATGCCTTCATATATAGCCAGCAACTCACGGTCGTAGGGTGAGTACTTCTGTTGTGCTGGGCTAAGCTTTCGCGAAAAAAATGCTAATGGCTGCCAGGCATCATTTTTGTACTGTTGCAGTACAGCACCCAATGCTAAGTCTGATGCATCCGTTACCAGAGCTAATTTGGCTTGGCAATCGGGATGTGCTAATAGGGCAGCACTGCAAAGACTGTCCTTGGACTGCTCAAAAGCTGTTAGAGCGTCGCCTGTCAGGTCTATAGCTTGTGAAGCCTTCACCGAACCAGTTAATAAGGCGTTTAAGGGTGCTTGAATTTTTGCGGCTTCTGGTAAGAACCGCCTATAGAAATTAAGCATGCCCAAATAACTTCTGAGCGCTTTGACTGTTCGGGCTTAGGGAATTCTTTAATGGCTTGAACTTTTGACTCAAGTGGCTTAGTACCTGCAGCTGAAATGTGGTACCCCAGAAACTGTACCTGTGATGAACCAAATACACACTTAGAGGTGTTCACCAGTACTCCGTACTGCTTCATTCGGCCAAAGAGAATATTGAGGTGATGTTCGTGCTCAGTAGCACTTCCAGGTAAATACTAAGAAGTCATCTAAGTAACAGTAACAGAAATCCAGTCCTCTAGTAATTTCATCTACAAACCTTTGGAACGTTTGTGCGGAGTTCCGGAGTCCGAAGGTCATGCATGGGAACTCGTACAAACCAAACGGTGTGGTGATTGCCGTTTTCTGGATGTCCTCCTCAAAGACGGGGATCTGGTTGTACGCTTTGACAAGGTCGATAGTCGAGAATACGGTGCATCCTGATATGTTGTGCGAAAAATCATGAATGTGTCTGATTGGGTACTTATCTGGTATGGTGCGTGCGTTGAGTAGCCTGTAGTCTCCGCAGGGGCGCCACCCATTGCCTTTTTTGGGAGCCATATGTAAAGGAGATGCCCAGGAGCTCTCAGAAGGACGTGCCGTTCCGTTGCTCAGCATCAGCTCAAATTCTTTCTTAGCTATTGCAAGCCTGTCAGGAGCTAACCTGCGAGGAGGGCAGGATATGGGAGGTCCAGGCGTAGTGCGAATGTAGTGTACGGTATTATGTGCAGAGGTGTGTGGTGTGCCTGCTGGTCGTGTTATTTCTGGATATTTAGCTAAAATAGTGTGGTATCGTGTGTCGCCAATAGGAACCTTAACAGAATTAATATTATTTACATTTTTAGCAATAAAAGCAATTGTCGACAAGGATGTTAAATTATCAATTAATCGTTTGTTCTTAACGTCTACAATTAGGTTATAGTGACTAAGAAAATCTACTCCTATTATGGCTTTATTTACATCGGCAACAATAAAATTCCATGGAAAATTACGTCGTAAATTTAAATTTAAATTAAGTTGTAAATACCCGTACGTATCAATTGCACTACCATTAGCTGTCTTACTCCGTCGTTCGCGAAGTGCCGTACGCGGAAACACACACACGTCACTTCCAGTGTCCACAAGGAATTGGCTCTTGGAGTTTCGGTCAGTAACGAAGAGGCGACCCGAAGAAGTTAAGCAGTCGTCAGTCGCCATCACCGACTGCTTCGAGCGTTTCCCGATTTTCCAAAATCGCAGGGTTTGATGCACCGGTTGGCCTTATCTCCATATTTCGAGTGATACCAACAGGTTGGGTATCTTCTGTAGCTGGAGTCAGATCGGGAAGTTGAACGTCTGCGATTGCGGATGCTAGAACGGTCACATGGTCTGGAACGTCTGCTCAATTGCATGGTAAGGTTCTTAACAGCTGCTTTCAGCTCCGCTATTTCATTCTCCATAGACTGCGTACTGGTACCAGGTGTCGATGTAGTACGTGAGGTTGTTGCGACTTGAAGTGTTGGAGATACTATATCGTATATTCTGTCTGCTAGATCGGCTAAAACGTCCAATGAGCTGGTTGGTTGCGACACAATCAGCGTTTGGATGTTGTTGGGAAGTCGGCTGCTCCATATGCTCTGTATAAAGTCCTCGGGTACCGAGGGACCTGCTAAGCTCTGCAGGTGTCGTAAGAATTGGGAAGGTTTCCGATTTCCCAATTCCTCGTGCATGAGTAACTGCTGAATCTTCCTTTCACGCGATGCTGACAAGCGTTTAATCAGTTGGTCTTTAAGTTTCTCGTATTTGTTACTAGAAGGCGGAGAAACAATAATATCTTTTACTTCTTTAGAATATTGAGGATCTAAATTACTCGTCACGTAATAAAATTTTGTGGTATCCGATAATATGTTTGAAATTGTGAATTGACCCTCTATTTGCGCAAACCATAATTCAGGATCGTCCGGCCAAAATGGCGGTATACGTACGCTAACTCGATTAACGTCTGATGTAAGGTCGACGTGCGATCTGTGCTTGCGCCTTGTACATGGGCGCGTGGTAACATTTTGTTCTGATGCCGTTTCTGGCGATTCACTACCACTACTCATTGTACCTGTAGCGTTTTCTGCAGGGGTCACCAGTTGTAGGTTAAAATGGCGTAAGGCGTCGTAGGTTCAGTGAAGAAAACAGTTTATATTAACGTTCACAGTCTTTTAATAGTCCACGACACAAAGCACACTGCAATAAAGAGTCAGAAGGGAAGCGAGCACAATCATAGTTACAAAGAATAGCACAAGCAAGAAAGTAAGAGATAGCATTAACAAATAAACTGTACGTGGTTAGCCGCGGGCGCAAAGGTGTTACAAGGGTCTAGTCGCAGAGGCGATCAGCAGGTAACTAACTTTATACAAGTAAAACAGGATATGCGCGAGCGCCGCGATTCAATCCCCGGCCGCTCTGTCTAGAAAAAGGTCGATCCACAATGGTCCCAATGTGTTAAATGCTTGTTCTATAATGGTTACATAATATATAATTAATTACGTTTATTGTAGGTGTTGTATGTGTTTATGTGTAAGTGTTATTGTGTTTCTGTGTGTATATATGAGGTGTGTGTAATAATGTGGTGGAATCCCCACAGATCGCATCTCCACTGCATTCAACTTACTTTTATGCTCTTTCTGGCATACCCAGGTTTCGCTGCCATATAACAATGTCGGTACCAACACTGCGTTATGTATTGCAAGGCGTGCACTCTTCACTACGCCTTGCCTTTTGACTAACGCAGTCAGGGCACCATTTACTTTGTTCCCGGCAGCGACACGCCTGTCCACATCTAAATCACATCTTCCATCCCGGCTGAAAGCACTCGCCAAGTATACAATTTCATTTACCTGTTCTAGACATTCCTGATTTACCCATATTTCACACTTCGTTCTCTCTTCGTCCCTTTCAAATAGTTACCTTACGACTTAGTACTACTACTTTAGTTTGATTAGCATTCAAACGGAGACCTTTAATTTCACATTCCTCTTTCATACACGTGACTAATGCCTGCAGTTCTGCCTCCGATGGTGCAATAAGCACTGCATCATCAGCATCCAGCAGACAATTTAAATGTGGTGTGTCTTGCCTAGTGTAGTGGTGTTGGGAGTAGCGGTGCTGGGATTAGTGGTGACGGGGTTAGTGCACGCAATTGAGGGAGGGCGGGAGGTGCTTCTTCATACAAGGTAAGACACATCATTTTATTTTATAACGCGGATATTTGCGAAGTAAATTTTTGTAAAAGCTTTTATATAATGGATTTCCGCAAAGTAACGCCTGATTCTATTAATTATACCCTTATCCTATAAAAAAACATAATTTTTTATTACAAGATTACTTTTCTGCCTAGAGTACATATAAATAGCCAAGAGTCTATTTCTATCACCTAGCAGCAGTGTTCGCATAGCTGTGTTCCGTTCTGAAGGTCTGAAGGTTCCGGGTTAAAGAGCCAGTACAATTAAAGGCTGTGAGTCATTCCATCTAAGTCCTCAGAATCAAGTCCAACGAAGTCCAACGAATTTCTAGCCTTCTTTGTTTGAAAGTGGTTCCAGGTATTCATGACTTGAAGTCGCTTACCATCAGGTGTCCATCTGTAACTGGTTTTGTAAGTTCGTTTGTCTTTCATATTTTATAAAAAAATCAACATGAAACGAAATAACAACCTTAAAGTATAATCATACACGATAACGCGATAATTTAAATGGTTTGTATGTGTGGCCAAGTAATATAACACCTTAAACTTTTCAACTTCCTTTTCTGGTATAACTTTAAATATTGTTCATTGCTTTATGTGATTTATGTGGTCGATATGTGATTTATCTAACTTTGATAATATAATCGATGAGTTTTTTATGGGTGACAAACGAGCTGACCGGCCACTTAATGGTAAGTGGATGCGGTGGTCCAATGGAATATATAAGTACATATCTGTGAGTGCTGATGTTCCACGAGAAAAAATGTTAGGAACATAAACTTTCATATCGTAAAATACTTAAAAATTATATTTCGAGAATTCGTGAAATCCATCAACACACGTTCGAACAGTACTGCCTTCATTTCCTGTTCCAAAATCCTCTTTGTACTAAAAGGTCTGGGCCGAACATCAAAATGTATATAGATGGTAACTTTACCTACGATAGAACAAAAAAAAAAAGAATTAAAAGAAATTATGAACTAAGGAAAAAGTTTTTTCCACCACGTAATTTAGTTACGGAGGTAACATATGCAGACGTTGTCACGTCCTACGGAGCCAATTATAATTTCAAAAACATTTTTAATTACTCGGCGATTCTTATTCAGCGGGAGACGCCGCTATCTCTCAAAATCCCATAAAAATGCAAAAGCGGGCGCTCGCAGTTATAAATATTGTTAATGAGGATATTTAATTAAAGTTGCCAGCGAGATTGTGTTTCATGATGGTAAGAGGTAGTGAGTATAAGTTTAAAATACCTGTGCCCTGTTAGATACTGTGTTTTCTGTACCTATGCTAGAAATAAGTTTTTATTAAGAACTATTAGGTATCACGTCTTGACCTTACCGTTACCATTACAGGCTATTAAAGTCTACTGCTCAACATAGGCCTGCCCCATAGATTGCCTCCTAGAGGACCTATTTGCTATAGTTCCCACGCTTGGCAAGCGGGTTGCAACTGCACTTTTTTATTTTTAGAAGTTATTGGTAAGACGCTGCTGCCCATCTTATATTTCTGCAGTTTTTATATGCATTGTTATTATATAATCTTCATTCTAAGACACCTTAAACTAAGAGTTACAAAGGGAACACTGCCTTTTGGCATTTTTTACCATAGAGAAAATAAACGTAACTAAAATGCATCTTGTAAATAAACATAAAATATAAACGCTGACATGGTATAAATATAAATAAAAGATCAGAATAATGTTTTTTGAAGATTATTGGTCATAAAAAAAGTTATAGGCATATGTGTATTCATTATAAAAATATCAAACATATTAATGTTCGATTATTGTCTTGTATCAAATTAGGCTCATAACATCTTGTAGTGGGATTTCATACGGGCAACTTGCATTATTCCCGAAGCGACGATATATTGTCGGTTTCGCGCTAAATTGGATCGTACTTAGTCATAGTCCGACTTTATGTAGTCCGGTCGTAAGATTAATTGCCGTTCTTGCACTCCTAATGCGCACCCGAAACAAGGTGACTTCATCTGAATGGCTTTGTGTTAATAGTGTTGCCATGTGGTGCAGCGTGAGAGAATCCATAACCCCAACGCATCCCGTGGGTGTCGCTAGTGATGATCATGGAAAATTGTAAAAGACGTCATGGCCAAAGGTGGTCATGGAAAATGAACAAACTTGTCATGGCCAGAGGTGATCATGGAAAATGGATAAAGTTCTTATGGTCAGAGGTGATCATGGCAAAATAACGAAGATCTTATGGCGAGAAGTGATCTTGGAAAATGGACAAAGATCTCATGACCAGAGGTGATCATGGAAAATGTACAAAGATCTCATTGCCAGAGGTGATCATGGAAAAATAACAAAGATCTTATAGCCAGACGTGATCAATGAAAATGGACAAAGATCTCATGGCCAGAGGTTCGGGTGATGGCGGTGTGAACCATGGAGCAAATACGAAGAGGAGATGGCATAAGCAATTGTGCACTGTGATTCTAACTAGGTCCTGACGTCATCACAGTGGGCGTAGCTTTACTTAGTATACTATCAGCGTTCGTCCTGTGCGCTTATGTGTCGAAAATCGCAAATCGGTGTATTTTCGAGGTGTTAAGAAGAAAAGGATGAAGTGTTGTGTTTTATCGTGTAAAAACTACTGAGATAGACGCTCTGAGGCTATGGATGGCATCACATTTCATTTCTAAGTAATTTAATACCTAATTTATTAAAAAGGTTCTAGAAAAATCTCTGCGTCGGCTTTAAAATGTAATTAAATATATTCGACACTAGATAAAATATAAAGGAACGAAGAGCTCAGTATTGATAAAATAATCATACGAAGGTGTTGAAATTTGTTTTGCATTCAGTCCTAAAGAAATTTTAATCGCCAAAATATTATTTTTATAGTTTTTATGATAATTATGTGAACAGACCGCCATCTATCGTCAAGGTAACTAAACTACATTGCAACATCGATATGCAACGATGTGAATAGTTTTACTATTTATCGGTAGATGGAAAATAGTAAAGTGGGCGGGGCTTAACATCCCTCACCCCGCAAATTGTCACAAGGTGAAATCTAATTACAACACCTCCTCTTTGTATTTGCTCCATGGTATGAACATCCCGTTTAACAGCATCAAGGGTCGAAACGACAGCGGGATTAGCCAAGATGACATTCTACGATTGTTAAAGTTGTAGAAAACTATACTAACTGCCGCGTTGGTTTAGTTGTCGTAAACGCGACCACTGATCGCGAGGTCTCGGGTTACGTAAAGCCATTGGTCTCTCTCCGCTCGTGTCGGATTATTGCCTCATGGGACTATGAGAGTGAGGAAATGGAGAGTAGACTTGTGCCTGCACATTCACTAATGCACCGTAATCCTGTCCTCGAGGATGACTAATCTCCATTAGTAATAGCTGCTGTGAAAGGGATTCAGTCTGAAGGAAATTATTACAACATTGTTTCTCTTAATCACCTGTCTGTGAAATTTGTGTTTATCACTTTTGAACGAAATTGCGTTGCTTAATTCAGAAAGTTGCACGGTAAGCACGGTAGGTGGAAAATAGTTTAAAAGTTTTATATAGTGCATCTAAAACCCGCACGGAAAACTGATAGTATAATACGTACAAGTGTAAAATTTCAAATAAATTGCTACAAGAAATAATTTTCTCCATAACTTTGTAAACAACCTTGCCGGGACAAGTCAGTGGAATGGATGCACTGTCACCGGTACACCGCTCTATGAAATATAGACGGTCATTACAGCGGCTCGACGTCTAGCCAGTCTTAGTTCTGAACGCTCGCAGGTATTCTGTAGTGACTAATTGTCCTGGTGATATTCCGTGGTGTCTCAAGCGTTTTGTGGGAGCTAAATTCTGTGTGTGTATATATTTGTTTGTAAGTAATAGTGTAAGGTTTCTTTTT